ATTATTGTGTTTATTATAATGCAAAAAGCAAGTTTTCTTCCAAATTGCAATACAACATGAATTTATTCAATTTAAAATGTTATTTGTTTCAAAAGGATCGATACATAGAAAGCTTCTTAAGGTGAAAATACATAAACGCTTTTCGGACTGGCTTAAGTCATATCGGGCCTAGACAAATATGACGTGACGGTATGGACTATATCGACTGCTTCCATCACTTTATATGAGGTATGTGATAATTTTTGAAAATGTTAAAAGTGTGCGCGTGTGTGATGTGGTACATATAGTCGACCGAAGTATTCCATTTTCATACCTCACATAATAAAAAAAAATAAAAAAATGGTATGGGCAAAATTACAAGGAAATCGAACATCTATCTCCAGTTTTATGCGAAATCATAAATTCCATATTCATCTCAGGTTTTTGGTTGAGAGAAATATTTAGATATAGCTAGTTGTTGTTGACTTATTCCGCATGTTTTGACAGATAAAAGTATTGAAAATTGTGACGCTATCTTTGAACCCTATCTGGGGGAGGTACCAAAATATATGGAAATATTGAGATATACCTAGACTGAATGCAATCGGATGTTAATTTCGCGTTTTATGAGCTTTATGGATATTCTTAATTTTGGCACTTTGTGGGGGAGATACCAGGAGTGGACCGGTATATCCCATCTTCACAGCAGATCTTGTGTTAGTAGTAATAATTGAATGTGTGAAATATGAAGAGAACCTGATGCTTGTGATAATCCGATGCGATCTCTTCCATGTTTATAACAGATCTCGTGTGTATAGAAATATTGAGAGTGCCAAGTCTAAATGGAATCGGAAGTTAATTTCGCGTTTTTTGAGCTTCAGGATATTCAAAATGTTGGCCTTTTGTGGGGGAGGTATTAGAAGGAGACGACCGATATATTCCATCTTCACATCAGACCTTGGACTAATAAACAAATTGTGTTGTGTGTAATTTGAACGCAATCGGATACTTACATCACATTTTATAAGAGTTATAATTATTAAAAAATTTGATCGTTTGTGGGGGAGGTACTTTATGGAGTGGACCGATATTGCCCACTTTCGCGCCTTACATAGAACTGATGCAAACATTAGGATTTGCAAAGTTGGAGCAAAATCGGATTGTCCTTTCTTGCTCTGCGCAGTAAATATTTTCTTTGCAAAATCCTAGACCCTAGACCTAGGGTGTAAAACTGTTATTTCTATGAGGCACGTTTTGAACGATTCGAATGAGATATACCCTCTCTAGTCATATGGATGAGGGTATAATAAACGGCTCCCAGCCATATGAATATTGGAAGTTTGATCGACATATGTATATCAGCGCTGCTCAAGAAAAAATATCTCTTTCCAGTCAAATTTATCTTTGCTTATTTAAATCAAGATCAAAACAGTGTTAATATTTTTTACCCATCTGCTTTATAAATTATTTTAACAAACATTCATGTTTAAAAACAATTAAAGTAAATCGTAATATATAAAGAAAAACTGAATTTTAATTTTCACTTAAATTATATCTTTTTTCGGCTCATTTTCTAGAACACGGTTTGGAGCAGGGTTAATATATAGATAATGATTAACATATATAAATACTATTGTACAACGGCATACCAATTTGGATTAAATAGAATAAGTTACAGCACTGGTTTTCATGCAAAAAAGACATTTCCAGGCAAGAAGAAGCAAAGTAAAATTGCTGGAGCCAGTCAGTTTTTTTAATTTATAACAGTGGCAACTGTGAGCTACAATATTAAATAGATAAACACTGACATAAAAACGTCATTTGTTTTGCAAACGAACTATGTTTCGAGCAACATTAATACCGAAAAAACGTCGTTGTTTTTAACGGAGCTTGGATACTACAACCGGGTGCATTTCATATGCTTACATGGCTTTGAAAGGCAGCCTAGGTGATGATGATGAATAAGCAGTGGAGACTGTCAAACACCTATTTTGCAAGACTCTTGCTTTGCCCTCGTTAGCCGAAAAATGTTCACTGCAATGTTTTTATTTATTTATTTTAATCATGTTTATACTAGTATTTCACTTAGTACAACTATTATTAGTTAGTAGAAAAAGTTACACATAATCCGTTTTATCCGAGTATCAAATAAACAATTTTCCATTACAATTTTTAATTATTAAGTTAAATTCAGACTACTCAATAAAAAACGCTAAATTGTCACATCTGTAACTAAAACTCAAACCATGATCGTGATCACGGTTGCCACTCAAAATTTTTTTTCGGGACCAAAATTCATAAAAAAAGGACCAAACCAAACAAAAAAGGACCAATTTGTTTGCAATTTTTTTCGCATATCCTCAATGCTTACAATATTATTTAACAAAACATTTATTTAACACAAAAAGTAAAAATGAAGTGTAAAGATTTCTAAACATTAACAAAAAGTGCTTCAATTCAATTTGCACATAAATACATAAAACAAATTAACATAAAATTTATACAGATATATTTATATAAATGTATATAATAAAATATAATAAAAATAATATAATATGATGGTGATTCTATTCTAAGCCCAGCCTATGTGTTTTACTGACCAAACATAATGAGGCTCTGATTTTTGCTCACAAAGTTCTTTGGACAGCATTATATTATTGATTGAACTGAACTCTAATTTATTCCTTAATCTGGTTTTGATAAGAGAAAGTTCAAAAAATTTACGTTCTGCTGCCGCCGAACTATGTGGAAGGCTCATTAAATCATATACAAAATCAGTCAATTCTTGAAAACATTTCTCATCCATACCGTTTTTATATAAACTAACTTTTTCCCAAAATACGCAAACGTCCATATCAGGTTTAAGATTACTGTTTAAATATCTTAAGAGTTTCCATTGTGTTAAAATAATATCTATATCACATTTAATTAAATGAGAAAAATTGCTTACTAAAGGCATTATTGAAGTTTCTGTGTCTGATAGAACTTTGTTTAGAGTAATTATGCATAAATTTTTTAAATCAGTTCTTCCAAAGTCAAACCGTTGCTGAATTTGTTTCAAAAATTCAACGTAAAAGTTTAAAATATTTGTTTTAATAGTGATTCGATGCGAATCCGTAAATTTATCGCTTTCAAGAAAGTTTTCTGCGCTACTTCCTATAAACATATTTTTAGATTGCAGATATTTCGTTTTGTCGTGTATATTAAAATTTTCTAGACAATCAATATTTTTTACAAAGTCATTATGCATAAAATTACTCAAAAGTAGTTTAAAATGTACTTCAATTTGGGAGTACAAAAAGGGTAAGCGAACTTTTTCAGATTGAAACTCTTTATTCAGGGTATTAATTATTTTCAATACGTCGGCCAAAAACAACAGGTAAACTTTTAGTTCCGGATCACCCATTGAATTCGCTAATTCAAATGCACTAATGCCACTTACTTCAAGACACGAGGATAAAAAATATAGTCGAAGCGCTTCCCACTGTTCATTAATCCGTGCAATCACACTTTTCAGAGCGAGCCAACGAGTAAAAGAAATTCCAAGTATTTTATGAGGTTTTACGCCACAATAATCCTGAAATTCCTTGAACTCGTTGATTCGCTTTGGGCTGTGCGAGAAAAATTTGTATATATCTCTACACAGCTTTTCAAGTTTTGCTGGTAGCTGTTTGCTGGCGTAGCTCGAACACAAATGTAGCGAGTGGCAAGTGCATTTGATGTAAAATATATTAGTATCATTTTTTAATTTTGTTTTCAGCCCATTTAATTCGCCGGCCATCGTATTGGCTCCGTCAGTTGCTAGCCCTATCAAATTACTTAAAGGTACACTGTGCTTTTCAAAAAATGACTTTATCGTTTGGTATATTGACTCAGAATCGCTTTTGGTAAGTTCAACTAGTGATAAAAATCTGTCACGAATGGTATTCGATAACTTATCAAAATACCTTACCACCAGAACCAGACACTTTGTTGTTGATACGTCCGTGGTTTCGTCCACAATCAAAGAGAATTTACACGTTCTGAGATCCGATACTATTCTCTTCATTGCTTCGTTCCCTAAAATCTCTACTAGCTGGGTCAATTTGGTTCTGCCGCAGCGTAAAGACTGCGCTATTTTTGAGTCCGGACAACACACGGCTAGCAAATTTGGCAAATAATCCATAAGGATAAATGGAAGATTATGTGCCATTATGAACATCACTAAACTGAATTCTGCGTTTCGGATTTGCTTTTCTAAAGTATCATTTTGTTCTTTAAGAAAAGAATCTAACTTCACTTGGCCCTTTTTCTTGATCACATTTTGAACATGGCTTGATTGCTCTGTGTGTCGTTTTAGCTTCGCTACGTGGTTCACCATGGACAAACAATTACATTATAAAATATTTGTTACACTGAAGTTAATTTGTCAATTTCTGATTTGTAAACAAAAAAAACAATTGACCAGTGTTGTCAATTTAGCTTTTTCCCGCTAGATTTAGCTTTGTTTTTTGACTTACAGGTAATATTGCCACTTGATTTACTATTGTGGGTGGGTAAAATTTGATTATATTTTCAAGTGTTGTCAACGAATCAAATCTTTCGCTTTATGTGAACCGTGTTGATTTTCGTAAATAAATTTTTAAAGGCGTGATGAAACACTCAAAATTTCTTTGTATCATAATTGTAAACGTTTTCATAAAAGGGACCAAATCAGAAAAAAGTGGACCAGTGGACCAAACGCCAAAAAAAGGACCATTTTTGGTCCAATTGGACCAAAGTGGCAACCGTGATCGTGATCAAAACAAAACCAATAATATATAGATGGAGATAGAGAGAGGGAGAAAAACATTAGGTTCTCTTTACTATCAACAACAAAACAGACCCATTCTCTTTTCCCAATCAGGTTCTCTTCAATAAAAAAACAAGTGTCAATGAAGCTTCACTTTGACAACTCATAGCCTAAAAATGAACAATCATGGAGAACACGCCCAAAATTAAAAGAAATTAATTCCAGCTTTTAAGTTACAAGTATTACTTACCAGCCTTTACATTCCTCAATGAGGAAAAGGAAAATATATTGAAGTACAGCAGCAAAGCTGCGAAGAATTTATTCCTCATCTTTGAAATTGCCCCTTATCCACACTTTACTTTTTTTCCTTTGTATTGTTGCAGCAATAGGTGGTATTTTTCAATTTTATAAATCACCGCCGTCTTCGTTGTTGGTTAGTTCGCGTAAACACAAATATCTTATATTTTCAACATTAAACAAACATTTGTTTAGTTTTATTGTTGCCTTTTGCTATAAATAACAAATTAAAGCAATATACTTTTATTTTGTTGCAATATGTAGTTAAAATTTCCAATTATGGAAGATTAAGAATGTACACACATATACGCAGTGCAAACACACGACCGGAAAACCAAGAGTTTAAATTTTCTCAGGGTTTGTCTTAGAATTTGGTAAGACTTCGACGATATTTTGTATCCAACGATACCTATATTTTTAATGACTTATGTGAACTTTTCCGCAGAAAAATTCCACGGAATAAATTGACGATTTTCCGTTTTTTCCAGCACGTATCACACACGTCCACTCGCAACGCCGTTCAAATTGGGTTTGGGAGAATTTAAGAGAACACAAATGCCAGGCATAGTTGACGTTACCAATTGTAATGTTGGCTGCATTGTTTAAGATAATCTAAATACACACATAGCGTATTGCGCCCATTGCCCTGGAAAAATAAAAACGCTTTATCTGGCGTTCACACAAGAAAAATTGTATATTCAACATTAACATTTTCAATTTATATTCATGGTACAATGATATCAAGGTAGGGCTATGATACCATATGATTTTAATTTTTTTATTTTCTTGGCTTAATATGTCATCTTTATTTGTTTATGTATGTGTTTTCTTTTCAATAACAAAAAAATTGTTTAGAAAACTTCAAATTCGGGTGTTTTCAAAATGTTTATTTCAACGTATGCATAGACAAAATCTAGAGTTTTTGTAGCGAAAAAATCCTTTAGAGATATATAGTACATGATTTTGAAAATAAGTGTTGACCTTTCATTCAGTAATCGCGTTTTATTCAAAATAAATGCAATAAGTTGTTTGAATTTTTATTGTTTTGATACTAATTCTGACATTACAAGTCAAACAGGTAGACCTCTATACTTGCAATTTTTTCAAAGTTGACCTACTAAGGTAGGCAACTTTTGTGGTACCCTCAAATGTCAAAATTGGCATCTAAGGCGAAAAACATAGATTCGCCATGACAATTAAAAGTTGCGGCAAATTTGTTTCAACCAATCAGAAACGAGTTGTTTGTTTACATTTTATTTTGTGTGCCTCTCGTCGTAAACGAACGTCGCAATAAAAGTTTTTATTGTAAAACAAATAAGAGTAAAATAAGTATTAATTGTGGTATTGCGATATTTTTTAAACCAAGAAACGTATAATGACTATAATTTACTGGTTTAAACCGAAAGTTTTCCGGAACTGCAAATGGCAAGAGTCGAATTCTTGCACTACTTCCCGTGATGTGCTTTGGGAATCTTAGATGTTGAGGCTAACTTAATTCTTAAAGCTGCACTCCAAAGCTACCCTCCTTCCTTCATTTTCTTTTAATTTTTTTTACTAGTTTCACTCTAAACTTGCTCTTAAATTATTTGAAATATTATAAAAAGGTACTTTTAGGGAAGACAGCATAAACAAATTTGTTGTTGCATTCATTTAGGGCGAATTCTTCATTACAACAATTTGTTTTGACATTTAATGGTGCCGTCAGCTGGGCTGATGCGATTACCTAGTACATCTACCTTGTGACCTACCTTCTCTTCATTGTACCATGTTTATATTCTTCTACCATGCCTTAAGCATTCACTCATGGTAGAAGAATATTGGTAGACACATCGACGCAGCTGCTGGGACAATGAACTGTCAAACCAATTTTGGGATTGAAAATGTTGAATGAAAAGTTATTTAAATATAACTTCCGAAAGACATCGTATAAGAAAAAAATATAAAAATCTACTTATATTTGAAAAAACATTAAAATTTTTTTTGGCATATCAATGTTCCTAAGCGTTGATGCATCTACCTGTATTTTTCTACCATGCATTCACTAAAAAATCAGGGCAACAAACATGAAAAATGTGACCTTGGCTTATTTTCACCAAGTTTTGCAATTTTTTTCGATGTCTTTAAGGGAAAATCTATTATCGTAAAAAAAAATTTACATTCTTTTTAAAATCATTTACTACATATCTCTAAAGGATTATCTTGCTACAAAAACTCTAGATTTTGTCGATGCATACGTTGAAATAAACATTTTGAAAACACCCGAATTTGAAGTTTTCTGAACAATTTTTTGTCATTGAAAAGAAAACACATACATAAACAAATAAGGATGACATATTAAGCCAAGAAAATCAAAAAATTAAAATCATATGGTATCATAGCCCTACCTTGATATCATTGTACCATGATACCAACAAAATATAACTAAATAGTTTGAAAAAAAAAAAACATGAAAAACAAAATGTTAATTTTAACATATTTTCTATTTCAGAATTTGCATGGGCCGATCAAATGTGATATTAAAATCATTACTTTCCCGTAAATATTCCCCGACTGATGCCATAGTTGCCATCGTGGCAGAAGAATACAGGTTAGTGCCGTTCATATGATGGTATGCTATGCCATTTTCAACAAATTTTACTAATTTAAAAAAAATAATTCAAAATGTTGAATTTCAAAAATGTATTGACATTTCATTGAATCAGCAGCTGTGTTGATCGCTTACCTGTTTCATTTTATCATAGTTGCCATATACTTTTTGCGCGTAATCAACATCTTTCCCATTCTTTCCATCACCTCTTTGTTTTCCTCTACACATTCGTAAACTCGGCCATTTTGTTTCCTGTTTTATTTTATCGAGCATTTCCTTATGTGCTTCTTTTTTGCCTCGCTGGGAACGTTTTTCTTTTTAGTTCATCCGGAACGTCACTCTATTTGGCGTGTTTTTATAAAAACTACATAAACAAATTAAATATGAATAGTTTAAATATACCAACTGATTTTGGTCCAGATTCTGGCGGTAGAGTTAAGGGTTTGACCATAGTTAAGCCAATTGTTTATGGAAATATAGCCCGCTCATTTGGTAAAAAGCGTGAAGAAGACGGGCACACGCATCAGTGGAAAGTCTATGTGAAACCCTACCACAACGAGGACATGTCTGTTTATGTGAAGAAAGTGCATTTCAAGCTGCACGAAAGCTATGCAAATCCCAATCGTATAGTTACCAAACCTCCGTACGAGATAACTGAGACCGGTTGGGGTGAATTTGAAGTTGTCATCAAAATCTATTTTCATGATCCAACCGAAAGACCAGTTACATGTTATCACATTCTCAAGTTATTCCAATCACCTATTGTTGATGGTGAGCTTTCGGCAACTACTATGGACCCAAAGAAAGGATTAGTTTCAGAATCCTATGAAGAAATTGTTTTTCAAGAGCCCACCCAATTGATGCAACATTTCCTAATGAATGTACAGCCCTTGACGAACGGTCCTTACACTCATGACACTGACTGTAAGAAATAATTTATTGATGTGTTCTTTCCTTTTTACATTTCCTTTATTTTCAGTTGAAACAAAGAAACAAAAGACATTGGAAAATATTATTGACGTAAAACAGAAAGTGAAAGGCGAAATTAATACGTTAAAGGATAAACTGAAATTGGCCAGAGAAACAATAGCAAAGTTCAAGACTGAGTTGTCAAAAGTACAAAAACCGCCAAATGCGTGAAAAAGATTTTTTTATTTTTAGCTCTATATTTCTTTAGTAATAACTTAATTTTTAATAAACTATTTAGAATTACTACAAACTAAGCATGGCTATCCATAAATTGTAAATCCGAAAGTAGTAACAGTGTGTTTGGTAAGGGGCGGGGTTGGGGCGACAGAATTGTAATAGCTTGCCGTTCCATATCAACATCCGTCCTGGAAGAATATATTGATTTATAATTCATACTTAGATCTTTGGATGCATTCACTTACACACAAACAAATCCCGCCACATTTGTGCCAATGACGTCGTCTTCGTTGGACTCGGCAAAGCTAACAGCCAAAATATGATGCAGAAGCGAAGAGGATGGTGTTACTGCCACCAATTTGGTTTTATTGTCTTCGGCCTGTTAATAAACAAGTGTGCAGATTTAATTTAAGAAAGAACTATATTTCAAATAAGCGGGCTAAAGTACCTTCATGCCAATTGGCATGCAAGAATCCGGCAGGGGAGGAGCTCCAATTTTATATAATTTTAAATCTTGGAATTTCACTTCAAATGAAAATGGGTAAAAAGGAGTTTTTGAACCATAAAAATATTCCTTTATTCGTTGATCTCGGGCTTCAGCTCTTTGTTCCTTACTCCGTTCTACAACTCCACCGCTCTTGCTTAACAGAACCACACGCACAAATGACGGCATGTCACGTAGAAGTTCATTGTATAAACGTTCTTGATCGAGTACAAAGACGGCATTGACCTCAAACGCTTGTGCTGTATGTGCTAAAATAGCATAACCGTCACCTTTTACCCAACCGCAGGTATTAATAATAATTCCAGAATGCTTTGCTAACGAAAAAACAATAAAATCTCACTAGAAGGTTTTGCAAAAATGGCTATACTTACTCTTCTTGTTAACATTCATTGACTCCAAAGTCACTTCTGCCATTTTGCTAACTACCGCTTTGTATAATGTATTATTGCCCGACGGAGTCTTGTATCCAAAATGATATACCAATGGTGCTGTCATGGATAGGCCGTCTTCAATGCTTGCCGGTCTTTCAACCAATATTGTGCCAATAGTTCCTGGTATTGAAAGAGCGCCTTGGCCGACATCTGTATCAGCATACAATGGTCTACGACCTAACCGCACTGCATAGTTGAGTAAAATTCGACATAAAGTACTTTTTCCGACATCCGTTGGCCCCACAACCATTGCAATAGGTCCTCGTTCATCTTTTTCTTCGGCCTGAGTTCTTAGCTGCTCCAATGCTGCATGACAATTCAGGTATTGGACCATTGGCGTTTCCTTAGATATGTAACTGACATCCGTTTTACCCCAAAGATGTAAAACACAACCTTGGTATGTGAATATTGCCACCTTGGCGCCACATCCGAAGTTATATTTTTTCTTCTTTACCAATTCCGTGCCGAACATCTCAGCAAAGCCAGAAAATAGCTGAAATGCGATCATTTAAGAAACACTCCATAAATGGCACTGCAAGAACTTACCATCACCTGTACTTTCGCATCTTTATCTTCTATTTCGAAGCGCAGTTCCGAGTCTGTTTCCAATGTATATTCAATGTAATCTTTCGTTTCCTCGGTCATGTTTGGAATATTGTAAATAAATGTCCGAGGAAGGCCCTTCTTATTCGCCTCTTTGGGTTAATAGATCAAAGGGATCACACCACGAAGCCGATGTTTTCCTCGGCGGCGGCACTTCAACAGGTAGAAGAATTCACGTAATCGCATCGACACAGCTGCTGATGCAATGAACTGTCAAAACATATGTTTTATGAAAATTATTCAAATTTGTTAAAATTGTTGAAAAACGATTATTATAAATAACCTCCAACTGACATCGTATAAGAAAACATATAAACATTTTTATATAAACAAATCTTTTTAAAATTTTGACACAGTAGAAGAATACAGGTAGATGCATCAATGGCATAATTACAGAGGTTAGAAGTCTCCCCCTATATATAATTTTTTTCTTTTGGTGCCTTAAGGTGCAAGCATGATAGATGATGGAAAACGACAACAGGATTTTAGTGCGGCTCTGTAATCCCTTTATGAATTGTCACAAAATATGCCTAACCCTAAGCAATGGTACATACTTAGGGTATCGTACGAACCTCGTATTGAAGGCGTAACCAACGTAACCGATTCCAAAAAAAAAAATGCCTAGCCATGATTTCAATATAGCTTTCAAACGATATCTATATTGTCTATATCGAATAAGTGGATCCGAGTCCAGTCTGGGTCTTGAACCCGGACTTTCGGGTCAAAAATACCTACCACTGGAAACAATTTAATAAAATTGAAGAGTTTTTACTAAACTAGAGTTAAACCAAAATCACTATGAATAGTCGAGTACTCGGTTTTCACCCAAGTCCATAGTCGTGTTCGAGTTTCAGAAGTTTGAGTACTTAAGGTCGATTATTCGATTAATCGGAAGTCGACTTACCTATCCCTAAGGAACGCTTTTTAATCAATTGACTATTTGTGTAACTAGTTCCGCGCTCTTTTAGTGAATGTATTCAGTTTTCCTCATGCCTCATTCGTAAACAACATAGGTCCATCGGGGATTTTGCTTCTGATTTTTTACCAAGTATTCCTTTTTGGCCTTTATATTCGTTTCATTGGGGAAGACTTTCATTTTGGTTTCCCTCGCGCTCATTCGATTAATCGGAAGTCGACCAACCAAGTGTGTCAAGCAAGTGTGTAAAAGGTTTGTTCTTTATAAATTAGGAAAAACTAACCTTTTATTTATCATTTCGTCAATTTCAGGATGGATACTCAAATACAACCGCTGCAAGAATATTTAACCAATATGGTAGTGCCCGATAAAAGGGTCAACATTGATATAAATCCAGAACACATTACTATGCTGCATGGAGGCAAAAGTAAAAAGCAGCTAAGTCGAAAGAAGAAGCCATCAAAATCATCTACCTTGACTAGGCGTGAATATACAAAGTTAGGCCTACACACATTACCCACACGCCAAATGAAATATGAGGATGTGCTGCCATTGCATAGACTATGGAAGGGCTATATGAAGGAACATTTGGGTTTGAACGAGGGTGATGAGGTGCCACAGGTTTATCAACCAGGCTATGATGCCTTTAGTAAACTACTTGTTAAGACTGATTTACATGGCTCAAAAATGTCAGTTATAAAATCCAGGTGTTTAACACTTGTTGGAATATCTGGCATTGTTGTTATGGATACCAAGAATGTTCTCAAAATATTGGGTAAAGATGATCATTTAAGAACTGTGCCAAAAAGTGAATGTGTCTTTAGTATGAAATTTGGCAGTATGGAATTTATAATATTTGGAAAGCATTTATGTATAAGACCAGCCGAACGTTCGGTTAAGAAAATAAAAAATTACATTGAACCATTTGATTGTTAACAACATAAGTAGAATGTGTAGTTTACCTTGCCGTGCTTGTTTGAATAAGGTGATAAGATGTATGGGACAATGAGGACAAGGTAGGGTAATTAGATGGAAGGGTAAGTGTACCAGCAGTCAGCACTTTATGGATTTCGCTTAGTGGTATTTTTCAAATTATGACAACGTTAATTTATTCAGATTCGAAATTTCGTATAGTTTTTGAAATGTTAAACAAAATTTGAATTACTTTTTATTAAATTAAATAGTGTTAGCCATCATTTGAAATTAGATTTTAAATGCTGGGGTTTTTTGGGTTAAACCAGAAATTAAAACACACCATTATAATATTATGTTTCTTTTGTACAAAAGCTAAATATCAGTTGAACATCCTTATTTTTAAAGATCGGCCGCGAAGAGAATGTTTTACGATGCCTCCTGTCCACTTAGTTGTCGAAGATGGCTCCGAAACTGGATAGGTAAGAATTCGAACGTGTCATTGGTTTAATGTACTTTGAGAAAAGTTTTGACAAAAGACGTATAAACATTCGAAGAACATCATTCTCCAATTTTGCAGAGTTCAAATTGGTACTTCTTTACTTCTTTTGCACATTCACAGGATTGTGTGATTTCGTCTCTCTGCTCCTGACCTTTGAACCTATTCTAACTGATTTTTTTGCTTTAGTTTTTAGTACTTGTTTTTCGATGTACAGTTTCTATACCCTACACAACATAGTGGTAAGGGTATTATGTCTTTGTGCATTTGTTTGTAACATGGAGAAGGAAACGAGATAGAGGAGGATCTTCATAGAAACACTTTCTGAGTCGATTTATGCATGTCAGTCCGTCCGTCTGTCCATGTATTCTTGTGAACCAAATACAGGTCGCATTTATTATCCGATTGAGATGAAATTTTCCCAACAATATTTGTTTGGCCTAAGGACGAACCCTATTGAAATTTTGTTCAATCGGATCAGATTTAGATATAGCTCCCATATATATCTTCAACCGATTTCGGGTTAATTGTGCACCAAATGGCTAATATCAGTCCAAATGGACTGAATTCAGGCAATTACGACTGAATTCATCCTTGAAACCAGTACTTCAAATGTCGTGTAAATCGCTTCAGATATAGCTCCCATATATGTGTTTTATCCGATTTGGAGTTTAATGTCTCACACAAGCGTAATATACATTCGATAACAATGATCTTTGGTACCAGATATCAGATACGGCTCTGAAATAAGTGTATCAAATGTTGTCAAGATTGGTTCAGATTTGGATATAGCTCCAATATATATCTTCAACCGATTTCAGGTAAATTGAGCACCAAATGGCCAATATCTGTCAAAAAGTCCCAAATTTGGTACATCCGACCGAATTCAGTCTAGAAGCAAGTGCATCAAATTTGAAAAAATCGGTTCAGATATAGCTATAGCTTCTATATATATGTTTCATACGATTTGGTTTTTAAGTCTTTCACATTCGTAATATGCATTCGACAACAATGATATTTGGTACCAGAGATCTAATAGACCTCGAAATACCTTTTCCAAATTATATCGAGAACGGCTAAGATTTGGATATATCCTTAATCCGATTTCAGTTTATTTTGCAAATAATGGCTAATATCAGCCCAAATGGAGTGAGTTTCGGCACGTACGCTTCCATTTTGTGGAACTCGGCTACGATATATATTTTTGTTAATATAACCCTTCTCGAAGTGATATAGTCGGCCTCGCAATGTTATTTGCCATAAAAGATTAAAATGTCTCCGTTAAATTTAATGAAAATCGATTCAGAATTGGATATGCCTCCCATATATTAGTTCCCACTGAAACCAAACTATAACTGCTCTAAGCCAAATATATGTTGTATGTATGATGAATGTATGATCTACTTCAAATAAATTATTTTGTTACTAAATAGGCGTAGTGGTGTAGGGTATCATATAGTCGGCCTCGCCCTACTCTTGACTTTTCCTTATTGGTATTATTTAGTAATACAAACAATTTATAGAAATTCCCATGATGAAAATTCTTGCCCTAATCACTTGTCAAAACAATAAAATTAATTTTTATTATTATTTTTTTTTATTTCAATATCTCTAAAACTTAAACTCTAGTTATAGCTAAGCTGTTGTTTGTTTCTTAATATACATGTGTATATAAATATGTTACATTATTTGCTTTTTTTTTGAATGGCAAAAATAAGTAACCACTTTAAAACAAGTTCAAATGATGAAATGAAAATATTTCGGCAGTAGAAATTAGTTCTCCAACAAAAAAGAAAATTAACAATATTTTTCATTTATTTCGATATTATATTTAAACAGACCTCGCGACATTCATTGTCATCTAATTGTATATATTTGTAAATCTGTACACACATTGTTAATGTTTTCATAAAATTAAAGGAACTTTTATCTCAATGAAGTTAATTATTAATCACTTGAATTTACAATTTTTCTACCTTATATACATCAGATAATATTATTTCAAATCACATTAAAAATAAATTATAAATTATATTGGGTGAATTATTTCAAATAAAACTTTGCATTCATTTACAGGCATGATGGTTGTGGTGAATGTGTGAATGTATGCACTAACTTAACACCCTGATGGATAATTGTTAAACTAATTAAGTGAATGTCTTTTAATTAATGTATTTGTACATAAATTGCTTAAAGCAAGACATTTAGATTTTGTTTTCTATTTGGTTTTACTTGCAAAAAATTTGTGCAAAATTGTTTCCATTCTAATTATTTTAGGATAATTTCCAATCGTAGTATTAATATCTAAGTACAAATAACATGTGGTAGGGGGGCAAACACAAATTCTCTTCAAATTTACTTGAATTCAATAATAGTTACTGAAAAGGGGCATTTGGTTTGAGCTGGTAAGAATATTTTATATTTTGCACCACAATGCTAATGTTTATACACCGATTGAATCTATCCTCTCTAATTTGATTTAATTATACTAAATTAAGTAAACCCGTTTCGTATTCAATTCAATTTAAAATAATAAATAAAAAAATAAAATATATTTCACAGTCATGGACAGTAAAGTAGCACAAAACTTGTTCTCTTTCACAGTATATTTCGTATACTACAGTATAAGAACACTATGGAAATATTTTACGGATCTTCTTTGAATTTATTATTTGTTCTTAACTTTTTTCTGCCAATGCAAAAACTTTCCTAATATTTGGAAAGTCATGTTATATTTCGATATAGTCATTCTTCAAAATTGTGGGGTGACATTGCATGAGTTTGAATTAGTTTGTTTTTTATTCAATATCTCATAACATATGTGAATGACAGTCCATATCATCTATTATCGTGCCAAAGTTAAGATATTTTTATATGAATGGATTACTTTATACATAGCAGTATTGATCCATACTTCGACTCTATTTAGAAGTCGACAGTAAAAGCTTGTCTCTTGAAAGGTACTAGTCTTTTGAACCCATATTCTTGCATTCTCGATGAAGGGCGTGCTTTTACAATGTTCTTGAATGTTTATGTAAATGAAAAGCTGTTTTGTCTTCTTTATAGCCCATGACTGTACATTTTACAACATAATGAAAACTAAAAAAAATCGTAAAAATAGTAAAATGAGAAGACACGCCTTAGCATCATTTAAAAATTATAAAGCAGTTAAAGTAGTTGACTGCTATTTTAGATGCCTTTTTGGAAGATTTATCTATATAAACGTTAATTTTTAAGTACATCTAAGCTACCCTTTTTCTATAAATGGCAATGATACTATGCTTTAAGGCCTCTTTTAAGGGGAGTGACACACACGCCAATTTCCATACTTCCCGCATGGATACGAATATCATCTTGGGTTCATCAATAAAGATCATCCTCCATGTTATGTATTAAAATCTTTTTGTCTTCTTTGGTATTGTTGGTATCGCGTGATAACGTTTGTTGTACCATTTTCGGATCAAAACACGGCTGAAATTAAAAACAAATACATTATTTCCAAATGGTTGTTTTATTTGAATTTTATATATATATATACATACCGTATCACAATAGTTCATATTGCAACAGTTTTCTATTGTTATTTCACATTGTTCTGTTGCTATTGGACGATTTGTAAGCGGAGTGTCTGTGGAAGCGGGTTGTCTGCGCACAACAAATGTCTTCTTTATCCTTGGCCTGGCCGGTTTATAGAAACGTCTTATCGCATGTACAATGAACAGGACCAAACACAAGCAGGACACAACGCCAGCCACAAGGGCAATTATAACTGTATTGGTCCATGTCACTTGATTTTTACAAACTTCTAAATGTTTGTATGTTGGTATGGCGTAAAGTTGGGCTGCCTCTTCGCTTTGAGAAGATAATTCTTCACATCTGGAAAAAATTGAAAAATGAATGAATAAAACCTATAAACACAAATAAAAAATGTAAATGGCAAGATAGGTGCATACAATTGTGAGTCAGTTAGAGCTATCCACGTCATGACAGCAAGGGCTAACTCGGATGTGGTGGACGACCCATACCATGATCTCTATTTGTGCAAAAAGAGTGTTGGAATGCGCAAAATTTGAAGAAAATTTAAATTGCGCCATTTTTATAACAGCTATGATTGCCCAAAATGTTGACCTTTGTTTGGATACCAAAAGGAGGAGGACAATATGGCTAGGCCAGTTGCAACATTGACCAATATGATATACCATATGTAACGGTAAAAGGGAAAAAGTATGAAAGAATCTCAGTTAGGTTTAATGACGTAACGATGACTGATGCGAAGAGGTACGTTTGTTATTTTAACCAGTCAATTTGTCAAGCACCCCGATAGTGATAGTACTACATTGTATTAGATCTCTGCCCGACAAGGAGGTACCTCCACAGTTTAGAATAATGTTAACAAAACCTAGATACGCAGGAGTAACCTAGCTGTAAAGTTCTCAACTTGTCGCTGGCCACCCTCATTGTTTTGAAGCCTGGAAAATGGGCTGAGTGGTCCCGTCGCTGAAGCCAGGCAAAGATGCCGGACAAAAAATGCGAGTCATACAAGCCGAATTCACTTTTCTCGGTCTAACGAAGACTATTGGAGCTTTACCTCTCTCCAGTATAACATAGTTCCACAACAGCATTGTACGCCATATCCACATATATTAGTCGAGGACTATACCAAAGCAAGCCGTGTTTTCATTGAAATTGGATTTTTAAAGCCGACTGGCAGAAATATTATATATTGCTGCTACAACAACAACCGAAAGGAATGGACCGGTGTTTTCCATGTTAAGAGAGTTTAATAAAAGTTCAAAACCAAATATATCAAAATGGTAGGCATTCATAACAAAACAGATGTGAACGCTAAGAATAAACAGCGGGTGGGCTGTAGCACAGTTGCGATAAACAGACCTCAAGTAAAAGGGATTTACTTTTCGAACGATGCCACCTTACTTAGAAACGAAATATCTTACCAATAATATCGCTTGACATAAATAAAAACTAGTTCTACTTACATGTCATGACATCCAAAGGGAACATAGGTTTCGGGTTCATATTTTAATACACGACAAAACAATGCACATATTTCTGTCGAATTCTGGTCACAACGTTGACCACCGAAATTGTCGGGACACTCGCACGAAGGCTCGCCGTTACTTTCAATTTTACACACCCCATCGTTTAGGCAATATCCAGCGCAGCTGGATGACTGACAACGTTTGCCGTAGAAACCACGTTGACACGAACATTTCTGTTGGCCCGTGGAAGACATGGTGCACGTACCATGGATGCAGTAATTGTGGCATTCATTCGTCTCACAGCGAGCACCTATGAAACCCACCTTACATATGCAAATGCCACTTTGTGGTATATATTCACCATCGTTGAGACAATAATCACGCTTGGTGATTGCCGTTCCATTTGAGCCTGTTGTATTTGGAATAGAGGCAGGCACGGAATCCAAGATACGACGCTTTATTTTATTTACCACACTGGCACAATGTTCATCTTGTTGCAAATTGGTCATAAAACGTGTACGCGCTATAATGCCACTGGGCTTGTCTTGCATACGCAATATAATATGCGGTTTGGCCTCTTCTTCGATGACTTCTTCCGATCGATTTACTTTTACATTGGCCTCTTTTATGTGCGTCCATATGGCTTCGTGTCTCTGATCCGTCCAAAATATCAATTCCTTTGTTACGGCTAAATTTGAAGGTGTACTATCCAGACCTTTGACAATTATTTGGCGATCGGTACCATCCAATTTGGCACTTTCCACAGTGAAGTGTATACCCTGCTGATCGACAACCCAGTAGATACGATCCGACAACTGATCCACCACTATGCCATGTGGCAGGTATAAATCTTTGTCGATAATTGTTTTGCGATTCTTGCCGTTCAAATCAATCCGCTCAATGGTGGCATTGACAAAATTAGAATTTGTCCAATACAATTTGCGGCGACAAAAGTCAATTGCAATGCCATCGGGTACAGTTGCTTCCTTTTTGAAATCAATTAGAACTTTGGGCATCTCCCTTTCGGCCCTATCAACCGAGGCATAGTAGATCTTTTTACCACTTTGATCTACCCAATAGACATTGCGATCCAACGGGTCGTAAGCAATACCGGTAACGGTTTCATTTTGTGTCCGCTGGACAACAGTGTCAATGACGTGACTATCACCAGAAGCACCATTTGGCAATTTCAGTGAAAATATGCTGCCGTTGTTGTGCATACGATCGGCAAAGTAAACAATTTCTTCGGTTTCATCGAAAGCAATGGCTGTCAAGTGATCAAACTGATGTGCCGATGAGATTACATCCCGCCATTGGTCATTGTAAAAGACAATTTTCGTTTTAGCGGTTACAGCATAATCTGCAAAGATAAAAAAACCCAAAACGGCGTTAAAAATAAACACTAAGTATATGTACGCATTCTGTGTTCGCAAAGAATGCAATGTGTTTTAAGAGGAATCATGTGACCTTGACATTCAATATTATTTTTGAATGTCAACGAAAGTAGAATCAAGATATTTAAGAAATGGTTTTAAAAAATACATAAATTACCAGTAAGGAAAAGTCAAAAGTCGGGCGGGGCCGACTATATGATACCCTACACCACTATGCATAGTAGTAGAGCTCCAGTAACAAACAAATTTATTTGACTTCAGAGGAGTTATAGTTTGGTTTTAGAGGGAGCTAATATATGGGAGGCATATCCAATTCATAACGAATTTCACTAAATTTGACGGAGACATTTCAATCTTATTTTACCAAACAATAGAGCAGATGATATCACTTAGAGAAGGATTATATTAAAAATATGTATCGGAGCTAAGTTTCTCAAAATGGAAACGTACGTCCCGAAATTCACTACATTTGGGTTAATATTAGCCATAATTTGTATATATATGGGAGCTATATCCAAATCGTAGCCGATCTTGAAAAAATTGGCAATGGTATTTCCGAGCTCTGCAAGACATCTGGTACAAAATATATATAACATATATAACTGCATTTTTAATTTAAGAGCGTGCACATTCTCTAGAAATTTCATAATCGACGTGAAGTTTGCACCATTTTCCCCTATGTCATTGCGACTCTTCAAAATACACGTATTCGATAACTAATCGTTAATAATTCGACAAAGCTATTTGTGTTCGTCTTATCAAGGATTGAACCATTGATTAATAGTTTTTGTTGTTGTATTTAATTGCCTCTTTTTGATGTGAGTGTGTTTTTTTTCTTGTTTAACCGAAAGTAGACTTTGAGGGAATTTATTTTTTATTAACATTTTCTGTTCTCCCCGTATTCCCTCCTCTTTTGAGGATGAAGGGATAGAATGTCTGGCTAAAATTTCTGACATAAATTGAATCTTAATCAAAACAAATTGAAATCAATTATGTTGGTTGATATATTAAATTTCCTTGTGAGTAAAATTATTCTTTATAGATATATATTTCTTCAATGGCTAGCAACACGATCCTACAAAAATTACATTACAAGTTTTATGAAAATATGAGCAGCAATAGGGAAAGGACCATAGACAGACGAGGCCGTATGTATAGTAACCCATATAACTCAGGTTATTTAAAAAATTTGCTTCACATAGAAAAATATATCTAAAAAAGGATGAAATATATGCACATAGAAGCTATACCAACATCTGAGCAAATTTAAACAAAATTTTGCCTAGGTTGGAATTTTTCATTTATTTATTTTAAATATGAGCAGTTACCTAGCCTATAGGACCATGGGTAGTTCCAAAAGCTTATATAAGTGACTACTCTAAAATTAATTATTCTTAATCTTCAATATAAAATTCAATATTAAAACAAATTAACAAAAAAAAAAAACAAATACAGCGGATAAAAAATTTGTATCGGAGTTATTTGTACATATTGACCGATATGAACTTAAGTAGATGATATATAAGCAGATTGCTATAATTATGTAGATTTACAAAGGAAAGCAACGATAGGATTCGAGTGCGTCTCTTGACTTCTCTGGCAAAGATGATATTAAAAAATTTTGTTTTACAATTTACGCTTTCTGGAATTGGAAAATGTTTTTTTTTTTTATTAATCTACAAATTTGGGTAAGAATTCCATGAATAGAGTTTGAAATTTGTTTTTGAAATATGTTTTGGTGAGGTGCCACAAGTAAATTTGTATAAATAACTTCGGGCACATGGACCAATTCTGGTCTAGAGACCCTTGACCCCCTATTAGTCACCCACTTCCCCAATTCATACTGATGCAGACACAGATGCCATCCACAGTTACAGTTGAACGCTGTCCACGGAGTCCAACCCCATATATTACTGCTGAAGAACGTTCGTTGCCTATACCGCACAATACGCAGCGCATCTTTAATTGCCCTGACAAACTTAGCCCACTTATTCCAAAAGATATTAACCCACCCCAAGGTTTTAGAGGCGATCAACACCTTTTAAACCTTTAAATCTTCTAGTCCGGCCCCGTTGCAACATACATGTGAGTTGGTGTTGGCTACCTTGCAGGAAATTTTTAAGGCATGTCTAAGTTTGTGCTTTCCAGTCTATGGGAAGAGGTAACGGTAACCTATATTCCCAAAGCCGGTAAACCAAGTCACACATTACCCAAATGAAGTCATTAGAAAGGTAACTGGACCTGGAAATTCGTTCAAATCTATATACAAATATAATAAGTACATCGCAACACGCCCATGTCAAAAGTCGGTCAGTGGGCATAGTCCTACACGAAGTTTTCGGATACATTAAGAAAAATATGGAAAAACTTAAATTTTACTTTGGCGGTCTTTCTCGATATAGAGAGAGCTTTTAACAATGTGAGACTGTAGTCGATCCATAATGCTCTCTATGCCTCTGCTTTTTCCTATATCCTGATTGAATGGATCCATACAATACATAAAAGCAGGATAATAAATTCGAGCTTGGGAGAGAGTTATATTAGGAGAACTTTCAGCAGAGGATCACCACATGGAGTGGTTCTCTATCTAACCCCTGTTATGAATTCTGGTGATCAATGAAATACTTGAGAGTATCTACCAACTTCGAATAAAGGCAGTCGCATATATTTCAACTTTCAACTATTTAAGATCTAATGCAAAGACATTAGTACAGCTGTCTGGTTGGGCCCTTGACAACGGTCAGGGGGGTTAACCCTGCAAAGACTAAACTAGTACCGTTCACAAAAAAAATTGATAAATTTTAGCTGCCAGTACTGGATGGAGATGCACTGAATCTTTCCTCATGTGCTACATATCTCGGTACGATCTTGGAGCAGCGTTTAAGCTGTATCAAGAACATAGAGTAACGTACGGAAAAGGGCCTCATTCTACACAATTCATGTAGGGACACCACAAGAAAGAGTTGGGGGCTTAAACCACAGGTTGTATACTGGATGTATGTTATAGTGATCTTACCTATTCTGACCTATGGGTGTCGTGTCTGATGGCATGCGATTGAACCCCAACGAACTTATGTCCAAATTAACCACAGTGAAGACAGCAGCATCCTTACTGACAGACGGAGCTCTCAAGAGCACTCATCAATTTGCAGGAATGGACTGCTAAGTTTCCAGCCACTGGATATTCCAGTAGCACTCAATATCAAGCAGCAAGGAGAGCGCTGTGACTACTGGAAGGCTTTCACGGGTTGGTCATGCACGAAACCTGGACATACCAATAAGTCGGAATATACTAGGTAATACAATTGTCCACATGTCCACCATTTTCTATTTTAAATATATTGACGTTAAGATAGTTGAGAGGACACCTGGACTGGCGGTGAACCTCCTCTGGAGGTTCTTGCATTTTACACAGACGGTTTCTGGATAAAGGCACCTATTGTGGCATATTCTGTTCTAACCCAATGGTTAAACACTCGCCTAAGCTTAATTACAACTTCAGCGTTTTAAGGCCATAGTGTTGATAGTAAGGTGTCCCTTAAAGCTATCAAGTCAAGTGCATTAAGCTTTGTTGGTTTCCAGGACATAGGAACATAGTAAAAAATGAGGTGGTGATGAATTAGGGAGGTTCCCAGTCAATTGATCTACCAAGACTTTTAAGCCAACAATAAGCTATTATTATATTCTTCTTATCCAATAAGCTGCAAGAAGATGACTCTTAGAGAACGGTTGTGGGGAAACAAGTTCCCTTCTATGACTTGATAGGTCTGATCTAAGAATCGCGATATGCATACTGACTGGTCACTGCAGTATCAGATATCTGATCTCAAGATGGGATAACAGTGAAGATGAAGAAGAGATAAAGACGATTGAACACCTACTATGTAGATGTTCCATGTTATCCAACAAGAGACGGGGGTCTATTTAGCATATGGGAGATCTGTAACGTTCCGTTTAAATAAAGATCCCATTAACGTCTACAAGTTTGCCAAAAATTTTCCCTGGCTAAGTAGACCGGCCAGTAAACTGTAAAATTCTTCCCTCTCCTTTTTCTATCTCTCTCCTATCACCTACAACTATATTCTTTTCCTAAGATGAACACAATGGACCAAAGGTCTCCGAGTGATGCAGTTGCCGACTTCGTATTGGAAAAAAAAAAAACTAAATATTTCGATTTTATTAGAAATTTTACTTTTCATAACTGGAATGCTCCTTGTATTGGAAAACTTTCACAAAGGCCACAATTCTAATTATGTGACAAAAAGCACAGATGATAATTTCGATTAGCTCAGGGGTGAAGATTAGTATTTCAAGAACGCCATTCTACAGGGAAAACCCTGTTAGATTTCAAATTGATAAGAAGCAATTAGTCTTAGAACTAATAAACAACATGTTTACACATATAAGTGCATTGCAATTGAGCGAATAATAGTAAATTAGTTGCTGAATTTAATAGATCAATGGTCAAAACCGAATCATCTATGGGTAGTAGATAGGCCAATTTTTTTTATAAATTTTATGTTATTCAATCACAATAATCTATATATATAAATATTTGCTTTGGTATGCATACAAAAAAAAGCTTAAATAAATTGTGTCATTAAATTAAACGTATATTAATTAAATTCAGCTACTTTCCGGGATATTTACAGAGGATAGCATAATAAACAACTACAAAATCAGGGGCCAAGGGAGCAACTTGTATTATTTTTTTTTATTTCAGTTGTTCTGTCAACTATGCCGCACTTAATTGATTAAATTCAACGTAATCAGCATTTTTTGGTAATAAAATTTAAATGCATTTTCAAACATCAAAAAAAGCGAAATAAAATTGTGAAATTATTTTTAATTGCACGTCGCAGAAAAAATCAAACAAAAATCGCATACAATACAGTTTCGAATAAATAGTTTAGACTATACGAGTAACATGTGTATGCTTCCCGTAAAGATTCCAGGAGAAGCAATG